AGGGGGTGGGGAACTCGTCAGAGCATTTGCCATAAAATTATATATATGGAGTAATGGATATCGGCTTGGATTGAGGAATCGGAGAGCCGAGTTCGAATTCCAGGCGAATCCATTACATTCACTTACGTGCTAATACCCTTGGGAAAGGTATGAATCCTTTCCTTCTCCCTTCAGTTATGGGTAAATAGCAGGGCAGACTGGGTTCTATAGCCTTGGATGCCAACTGGTCTAGGAGAAGGACTGCTCTGAATTCAAAACCTGCGAAGGGTCGTTTGGGGACCTTGTGGCACGTAGTGCACCAGGTCTGTGTTCGGCCCTTCAAAAAATGTGGATGGTCCTGCACGAAACCTACACCACTATAATCAATTCTCATGTGCTGTTAGTTTCCTGGGAACTGATCTGCTTGACCCTTGTTCGACGGAAGAGTGTATATATATATATATATATATGATAGATTAAAAAAACGCCCTGTAACGCCTTTACTCTAGCTCTTGCGGAGAGATCCCCATTGGGTCTTTATCACAATAGATAGGAAGGAGTAGATGCAATAGGCAACAACTAAATACTAGTGACTTTTGGTGGATTTCGCAATTAATTTCGATTATTCCCAAATTTATTTCCAAGTTATAAAGATTGTCTTTACACAAAAAAATTCCTCGCAAAAAAAATCACGTGTGGTGGGTACTCTTGATTGGGCCTTCATCACAATAGGTAGGGAGGAGTAGATGCGATATGCAACAATAAACTACAGAAGAACTCAAAATTGATCTCTGCATTTAAGTTTTGTATTAATATTTAAGCTTACCTTTTAAAAGTTCAACGATAATTCTTCTGTCACCACTTAATTTAAAGACCATTTTGATGTACGTAAGTCCTAACTTTCCGTACAATTTTTATTTCATGGGTGAATTTCGTTGGATTTAGCAATTTCGATTATTCCTAAACTTACAAGTAATAAAAATTATCGTAGAAACAAAATTAATTACAAAAATATCGCCGAAAACGATCCATTAATGAAAACTTGGGAATCCCAAATTTCAGGATTGCGGCTTCAGCCCTGGTTCAGAATGTTTTTAATTTGCTCACAGTCGGCCTGATTTCAAAATGTTTGCTTACGATCTCTAGGAGTAAAGTTGAAAAAGTGACGCACTGACATTCACGCATATATATATATATATATATATATATATATATAATTCCAACTTAATTTTTGGCCTTTCAATAAAAACAATAACAAAACGTATGTATTTTTTCCCTCAGTTTCTTTAAATAATTTTATAATTTTTTAACCTTAATGTAGATTAAATTTAAAATAGGTAATTTTGAATTTTATAGTATTAAATATTAATTAGAATAAATTTTAGTTTAACCCTAACATTAAAGCATTAAATAATTATTATAACCAAAGTTCATTGTCAAGTTTTTTGAATTCTTATATACTTGTATTCTGACTGGTCATTCAAGCTTATGTAACAGCGTTTCCCCTAGCGAGGGGTGTTTGATTGATTTGAACCTTTTAAAACCCTTTATTCAACACCATCACTTGATAAGACACCAGAAGTGTTGAAACAAAATGGCTATTTTTGTAGTGATTTTATAACATATATTTGTTATAATTTTCGGATATATATTTTTTTCCAGCGGCTGCTTAGCCTGTTTTCCAGGGCTCCGTGGAACCTCTTTGGGTTTTGACTGTTTCTCTGGCTTCTGGGGACTTTGTGTTTTCTGCTCTTCCCGAGACCGCTGTTGCTCTGGAGCCTTCCGTTTTTTTTGTTTTTTTGGCTTGAGGGCGTGTTGTTTTTTCCCTTCATCACTTTCCATTCCCCATCCGAAGCCTTCTCTGATGCTGATGACGTTGCTGGTGTCGTCTTCGCTGTTGATACCACTGCTTTTGTTGTATTTGCAGTTGTTGTAATGGCCGCTGCCGTCGTTGTTGTTGGGCGGGGTGGTGGTTGCGAAGCCTTACCTGGGCACACTTTCCTTCCCTCCACAACCACCAGCATGCGTCTATCCAGACACAAGACATTTGGAATATCACCAAACGCCTCTCTTGTCAGTGTTACTTGTAGAGTCATGTCTCCTGTTGCTATTCCAGTTTTGCTGAAGACTGCGGCGACCTCCTCTACTGGGCCATATTTGGCGAAAAAAGCTCCAACCCTATCTGTTGAAATGTCCACGGGCACCCCATGTACCGTGATTTTAGTACGCCGGGTGCCCATGTACTCCGTCTGGAGCCTAACAGTTTAGCTTCTTGTCCTGTGGCTAGGAGAATGTCTCAAATAGCGTTCGTTCTTCTAACCAAGACCCGTGGTGCGGTATTTAGTTTCTTCAAGGTCTCTTCCATTATTTCCCTGCTGACTCCGGTCAATTTCCGACTCCTCACGTCGGAAGTCAGCAGGGAAATTATTCTTGAGTTCACCTCATTTAATGCCTCCGGAATCATCGGGAACTCTGTCCTATTGACATGTCATATTTCTCCTTTATGTTGCTGTAATAGGCGCAATCCTTCTTTTGAGGCCTGTTTGCCACCCAGGCCGTTATTTTTGCCGGTGACACATTTTCTGCCGGAGACAAATTTTCCGTTTGAGACGGTGATAGTATTATATTTTCCGCCATGGGGATTTCCTACCCCTGCGGCTAAACAAAAAACGTTCGCCTTTTTTATATATATTTTTGTAACAAAAAAATAAAGCACAACTCTAATCAAACAAGTGGAAAATAAATACGTAAAAATTAAAACTGAAATAAAACCAAAATTCAAAAGAATACAATACTAAAAACGGGAGTGGGGTAAAATTACAATGGAGAAATAAACAAAAGAAAATGCAAAAAATAAAACCAAATACGTACACAGAAATGAGGTGGGGGAGAAAAAATTCAAAACTTTGCAGAACAAAATAAAAAGAAAACTTGTTTGCTTCAAAGACTCGACCTTCAATTAAAAAAGTAAGCACTAGTCAGACCCCGCAACTTCAAAAACTGAGTTACTCGAGGGTACACTGATGTACTAGTGTATATTTATTTTGTACATGATACAAAATTGTGGCACAATGCCGAAGGGGAAACGGGGGAAAAGGTTGGTCTTTCACTAGCTATCCTATTCCCAGATAACCACAATCATGACACATTCATTCATTACAACTACACATTCAGCACAAAAACTCATCCATCATCTATCAATTCAGCACACACCACAGACTTGTTGCAATTAATCTTGGCCCCTGTCACCTTCTCGTACCGTTCAAGCGCCTTCTGTACCACCTCAATGTCGCTGCGGCACGACACAAAGATGGTATACGTCATCGGCGTACGCAGAAAGCCTGCCTCGAGCTCTACCAGGGAAAACGGCAATTCCGCGTAGGACCGGACTGCAAGCCTCATTCCTCAGCCGGCGAAGTAAAGGCTCCAACGCCAAAGCGTAAAGTAAGGGCGACAGTGGGCACCCCTGTCGTACCGACCGAGTCAGCGCAAAGGCGCTCGACCGCCTTCCGTTCACCTGTACCACAGCACTGGGGGAGCGATACAGGAGGCTAATCCACCTGCAGAAGTCGGGTTCGAATCCGGCGGCCGGCAGGACAGCAGCCGGGTACTCATGGTCGACCCTGTCAAATGCCTTGGACTGATCCAAATTGCTCAGCGCGGCCTGCTTGTCGTCTTTTACGCCCTCTATGATCGTGCGGATCAGATGCAGGTTGGTTTGAATTGTTTGTCCCCTCACAGCACTGCTCAGGTCCCAGCAAACTCGCAACAACTGACTGCAAACGCTCCTGCGGGATCTTGGCCAAAACCATTAACTCTGTGTTTAGCTTCTTCGGAAAACGGCTCTCTATATGCCACTGAAACGCCTCGCACATATACTTGGTCAACCTCAGATCACGCCCCTCCGGGGTAATGACCTCGCGAATGTATCGATCGGAACCTCGACGGATCTCTTCCTTACGCAATTCTGCGCCCATGTTCACGGCCTCGTTAGATATCTTGTTAGACATAGGTCTAACTACCTGACCCTGATAGCGCTTGCTAGCCTCACGCTTCAGGGCCTGCCTAGCTATGGCTATCTCTAGGGAATCCCCCCCCCATCCACCGCCCGGGACAGACTATCCTCTAAAGTCTTCATCTTTTCAGCCTTATCTAAGGCGAGTCATTAGCTATATTCAGATACCAGAGGCCTTCTTAGTTACTTCCTCCCTGGACAGCTCTGGTGTTAGCACCGGTGCCTGCTTCGTCAGCGGTACTGGCTTCTTGGTTGGACACGTTTTGGCCAGGTGTCCAGCTGCACCGCAAACCCAACAGAAGGGCCGGCGACCCTCAACCACCACAAAAATGCTTCGGTCATCACAGGAAATTCTATTGGATATGTCCTTGAAACTTTGCCGGTTCAATGTCACCGTAACCTCCACATCACCGGTGGCAATCCCCGCCTTACTCTTTATGGACGATACCTTCTCCACATGCCCGTAATCTGAAAAGAAGGCCCCCACATGGTCTTCCGTAATGTACATGGGTACGTCATGTAGGATAATCCTGGTTTTCCGACTGTCTAATTAAAACAAAGCATCGACCCGTACAGACACGATGTGATTTCTGCCCAATGCTCTGAATGTCAAAGTGAAGAAATTCAACCAACCGCAGGTAAACGGCGGGAGTAACTATGACTCTCTTAAGGTGGCGGGGTTGCTGGTCCTTGAGGGGGGAATGGTGCTGTGCCTCCTCCTATAGGGTCCCGCCGGTAACAGCCCCCGGGCTGGCTAAGAGTCCAGACGTCGTCCGCAGACATTAAATGTGGTGTGCCCGCGCTTCCTAAATGCGCCGGTCATTGTGGGGTTGCCATCCCCCCCCCCCTTTAATTGTAATCAATTGGTTGTACACCTAATACCAGGCCTCGACATTCCCCCGCCTCGACTGGCGGTGACCATAATACTGTCCCTGTAGATCGGGAAGGTAATTCCCTTCGTTGAAGTTAAGCTGTGTGCTCGCGTACAGCCGGACTCTCTGCCCATATGTACCAGACACATCCTAACCAGTGGAACGAGTTAAAGAAACGGCGCGACGCCTCATATCGCTCGCATGCCCGGACCTACGTCCGATGGACGATCGATGACCTCAGGCGTATGGCTGCGTTAGAGCGCGAGGCGTTGTCCTTTAACGTGCACAATATTAACACGTACATCGGGTCCTGCCGTAGCAGCGACCAAATCAGCTGCAGGCGACGTAGAATGACTAAAAGAGCTCCTGAAATCGCTTGAGAACTCCGCCCCTGTCCTGGCCCTGACGGCGCCCAGCCCCAAGTGGTTCTCGGTGAGTCTGGCTGTGACCTACCCCCGCGGGGCCCCCACCGGCTGGTCCAGTGGCCCCCGTGGCGAGGACTATCCGCATCTGGTCTGGCCCCGAGATTAGTCTTAACATCTGCGCCACCTGGTACAACTGACGCTGACTTGGCCCCTCTCCTTACTGGCCGCACCATCATTGCCATCCGCTCCAAGAGAAGACGATTGCCTCGTGTTAGTACTCTTGTCGGTAACAGCGATCCTGCGCCCCAGGACCCCCCGGATGAGGAGCCGGACAAGACGGAGGCACGGCCTTCCGATGACGTTCAGCATGATGACTCTCGCGGCATCGTTGAGTACATCAACGGCCTCCTGCCTCTGATTTCCAACACCAATATCCGGAACAAGGCCGAGTTGGCCCTTAGCGAGCCCGACGGGTTCTCATTGCTGTTTTACGAAGTATTCCCCAAGAACAGGACCAGAAACAGGCGCTCGATACCACCCGTTAAGACAGGAATTTGGCAACGTCGCCGCCAACGTTCCGCCATATACAAATTCCTACAAAGACTCCATTCTAGAAGCCCTAAATCGGTGGTCGAGAGGCTCGTCGACAGCGATCTCTCTTACGAGGGCCTCGTTGCCGAGCGATCCTTCTCGGAGGAGGACTTTCTACGCAAATGGAAGCCGGTATTCGAACGTGACTGCTTTGCGGACCTGGCCAGAGACCATCCAACGAACTCATTTCCCCATCCTCGTGTCCGATGTCGTCTCCGCCCTTGCGTCAATGAAAGAATCTTCCCCTGGACCTGATGGCCTCCGCCTTAACACCTTGCGGGATATTCCCGTGAAGGTCATCACTCTGCTATGTAATTTGCTGTTGCGGAAAGGTCCGCCGCCCTCCAGGGGCAAAGCCGGTAATATTTTCACCTCTGGTGACCTTCATCAAGAAAGTGGAAGTACCCGGCGATCCCCTGGAGTTTCGACTTATTGCCACTGGGAACTATTTTGTGCGGGTGTTCCACCGAGTCCTCGCTAGTCGTTTCGAAGCATCCCTACCGGATCATCAAGACCAAGCCGGGTTTCAGCGTCTTGATGAGATTGCTCATAATGTCCTTAAACTACATGCAGCCATATCCGAAGCCCGAAACAAGAACGAAAACTTAGTTGTCGCCTCTGTAGATATTCGAAAGGCATTCGACTCACTCTCGCACAAAGCTCTCCTTGGCATTTTGCGGCGGAAGGGGGTCCCAGACCTCCTTCTACATTACTTTCGCTCCTACTTCAGCTCCATTAGACTGCAGATCGGGATGGATCTGATCCACCCTGTTCATCGTGGTGTTAAGCAGGGGGACCCCTTGGCTCCTTAACATCGCTATGGATCAGATTCTAGAGGGAAGGAAGTACGCCTTTTCCATCGGCGCGTTAGTACTGAATCAAATGGCCTATGCCGATGATCTCATACTATTCCCCAGCTCCCCTGATGAGATGCAGAAGCGGATTGTCAGATTGTCGGCCTTGGCAGACTCGGGCTCGAACTCAATGCCCTTAAATGCCGTGTGTTATGCATTCGTGGGAACAAGAAGAGGAAGTTCTGCTATGTGATCACCGCCGTGTCTATAACGGCGGACGGCGTCGCCCTTCCGGTTGTCACTGCCGAGTCAGTTTAACCATCTCGGAGTCCAGTTCAACTGAAGGGGTGTTGCCCGGACACCGCTTGGTCTCGACCATCTTTTGACCAGGCTCGATCGGGCTGCGCTTAAGCCGCAGCAAAAGCTGAACTTCCTGAAAAAATTCTTGCTTCCGCGTTTGCATCACCGCCTTGTTTTCGGCCGCCATCATAGGGCTGAATTGGTTAAGGGAGACAAGATGATTCGTCGGGCGGTTCGTAGGTGGCTTCGGCTGTCTGCCGACTGTCCCAATTCCGCTATCCACTCTCCGGCGAGATTCGGCGGTTTTAGGGTTGTTTCGCTCGAGATGCTCGTTTCCACACTGAAGGACAAACGCCTAAGCCTTTTTACCGATGGGTATGCAGGGGATGCCCCGATAGCATCCAATCCCTCAGTCCGCAACTTAATGACGTACAGATTCAGTAACTCTTCCAACTGCATCCGAGAGGGCCCGGTTGTCCCGGGGTGGCCGAAGAGTCGATACGGTGTGTAAGTGTGGGCGCAATGCAAGCCTGCCCCCCCATAGAAAATGGCCTCCGAAGGAAACGGCACAACAATGTTGTGCTTTTCGTGGAGCAAGCCATGAAGAGACTGAATCTTGATGTCATTATGGAGCCGCGTTTCGAGACTGAGAGGGCCTGCGAGAGCCTGACATGGTTCGTACCGAGAGGGGGGTGATTTTCCTGGACGTGCAGGTGCGTCCTGATTCTGTCGTTTGCAGTCTGGATACTTGCAACGCAGAAAAAATCCGGAAATATAACCAGCCGTATTTCCTCGATGCGGTTCGTGATCGTTACGGTTGCGATACTCCCATCCAAGTCGTTGCCCTGACGTATAATTGGCGAGGTGCGGTTGCCCAACAGTCGCATCAAGATTGTCGTACATTGGGTCTGTTGCGGTGGAGGCATTTTGGAATGATTTCCAAACTTGTTCTACGTGATACTGCTCGCATGCTCCGGGCGTACTGGTGCGCTCCGGCGGAGGGGTTAACTCGCCCTGCTGCTACGCCGAGGTTGCTCCGTGACTTCTTTGAGTAGTCTAGTTGAGCCTAACTTCCCTATAAAAAAAAAAACAACAAAAAACAATTTGTGGGGATTTCCGGTCTACAGGGGCTCACCTAACCTTCTTAGGTTAAAGGGAAATTTCCCACCCCCTCCCAAAGATGACATCTAATGCGCCCCACTTCCTTGCGGTGGCATTTGGGCAACGCCTTAGGGCGGCCAAGCGGGCGTACCGGCCAAAGCGTTACGGGCTGGTGGGCGGAGTGGTGGTGAGTTAGCCAAATGCCTCGTCATCTAATTAGTGACGCGCATGAACGGATCAACGAGATTCCCACTGTCCCTACCTACTATCTAGCGAAACCACAGCCAAGGGAACGAGCTTGGAACGATCAGCGGGGAAAGAAGACCCTGTTGAGCTTTCCTCTAGTCCGACTCTGTGAGGAGACACGGAAGGTGTAGCATAGGCGGGAGACACGCCTTTGTCGGCGTCGGAAGCACGGTAGCAGGTGCGGTTGCGGGGACGGGGGTTTGCGGCTGGGGGGGTTCGCCTCTCGACGTTCACTCTCCGCCTCCCACTTCCGTTTTCTTCTCTGTCGGGCGGGGCCTACGCCCTCCTCGGTGGGCCGGCGTTTCGTTCGTCCCGGTTTTTCCCGGCCCTCGCCGCGACCGGCGTCGTTCGGTGTCGTCGAACCTGAAATACCGCCACTTCCGTCGCTTCCTCGCTCACCCGGTGAAAAAGGGGACGGGTCGCTCGGCGGCCCTCTTGCTAGCGCCAAGGGCGCGGGCTCCCCCCCCCCCGATTGGGGCCCGCGCTCGACCCTTAGCCGGGGACCGTGCCGGGCGTGGAGTTTGACTCGGGCGGTACGTCTGTCAAACGGTAACGCAGGTGTCCCAAGGCGAGCTCAGCGAGGACGGAAACCTCGTGAAGCAAAAGGGCAAAAGCTCGCTCGATCTCGATTTTCAGTACGAATACGGACTGCGAAAGCGTGGCCCATCGATCCTTTCCGAGCGGAGAGCTCCGTTCCGCCGAGAGGTGTCAGAAAAGTTACCACAGGGATAACTGGCTTCTGGCGGCCAAGCGTTCGTAGTGATGTCGCTTTTTGATCCTTTGATATCGGCTCTTCCTATCATTGCGAAGCAGAATTTGCCAAGCGTTGGATTGTTCAACCACTGATAGGGAACGTGAGCTGGGTTTAGACCGTCGTGAGACAGGTTAGTTTTATCCTACCGATCGGCACGTGTGTTACGTCGGCCGTGGCCACGGCTATCCCGTCCAGTACGAGAGGAACCGCGGGATCGGAGCAACGGTTCGCGTGCTCGCTCGAACGAGCGGCGGTGCCACGCTACCTCCACGCGATAACGGCTGAAAGCCTCTAAGCCGGAACCGCTACCGGTGCCGTCACGGTATTACGAAAGGCGTCTCTTTTCGTTCCGCTGGGGCCAGCCGTAGCGGACGTCGTCGTCGCTAGGGGCGGCCGCGTTCGTCGGTGGCGCTCGTCGTCCGCTACTTCGGCTGCTGTCGCTTCGCACGCAGCGACGTCCGTGAACGGGCCACCCGATTTGACATCCGCAACAGGCGGGATTTTGCCGTCGCCGTCTTATTTCGAACCCCCCGTGGAGCGTGAGACGAGGGGTCGCTCGTAGACCACTTGACTTCAGGCTCGGGGTGTCGTACTTAGTAGAGCAGCCACCACACTGCGATCTATTGAGACTAAGCCCGCGACCGACTCGATTCGTCCTCGAGGGACGACACTAAATCTTCGTCGAAACAACAAGATGAAGTAGTACTGAAAAGTCCGTTCGTTCCTCTTCCGTTTGGCGATATCGGATTTTTTTCCGTTACAAGACAGACGAAGACTTTGTGCCGACGAGGACACTTGCGCGCCGGAATGTTCGGCTTCCTGGTGCTGGTGCAACGCGATCGATCAGTATCGGTGACGGACTTTGTGCACTTTCCGAACGAAGTGCCTAGTTTCGAGTTTCTGGAAAAAATTGCAAAAATAAAATTCGAAAATCAAACTGAACCAATTGAGAGCCCACGTCCACATTCCCCACCCCCCACAGAATAGACAGTCATCCTCCAGCACACATGCATCGGAACTGTAAACAAAGTGGGTCTCTTCGATCGCGGCAACATCCGAATAAAAGACAAGAGGTCCCGGAGCAGACGGGCAGCCTTACTCCGATCCCTGAAGTCCCTTGCATTCAGAGTAGCTATCTTGATAGACATCTTCTCTAAGCCTGCAAAAGTAAAAGGAGAGTAAAGGCAAAAAACCTACTCGCATACGGGGCGGAAATCTGCAGATGTCAGGACCCCGACGGATTGTCCCAGGCTTCCTGTTCCTAACTCCGTCGTCATCCGACCATCCAGGACAATCCCTCCGACGTCCGTGGCGTACGTTAGCTTAACTGCCCTATATAAGGAGGGATGGAGTAACACCGGGACCCTCACAGAGCAAAAATGTTTGTTTCTTTCAATCGGTATTTTCCAATTCTAATACCCTTATTTCGAGGTAGGCCTCCTTAGCTTCGAACAAATTGTTCCAAACTTTGAGGTAACCCCCGGTCTCCCTCAGTAGGGTAATCACTCCAGGATCTTGAGGGAAATTCTGGGGGTCCTCAACCGACTTTCCGTCGATGGTATCTATTTTAACAAGATTATCCACATTGCAGATGTCGCCAGGGCCTTGGAAAAGTTTCTTTTTCTTCTCCCTTGATGGGTGAGGAGGAGAAGAAGTAGATGTGTGTGGGGGTGCATATCGAACTAAGGGAAGAGTTGGAGGGGGAAGGAGAGGGAAGACGGGTAGGAGAAGCAGAGATACTCCTGATTCTGGTCGTTGATTCTTCAGTTTCACTTGGCGAAGCAGGGACGGAGAGCGCCCTGGTTCTGTCCATGACTTTCTCCGCCCTACTACGTCCAGAGTGTCTTTGTGTTGGTTCTTTGTCCTCTTCCTCTCTCGACCTCTTTAAGGTTGCCGCCCGAGGAGGAGGCATTTTGTCCACTTCCCATCTGTGTCAAGTTGCTGCTTCTCACTGTGATGTTTTGTCGTTGTTATTGCCGTAGCTGTTTTTTTTCCTGTTTGCTGTCCCTTCTTTTGAGGCTGCATCTCATTGTGGGGCTGCTTCTTGTCACATTGTTGCTGCTTTCTCTGTGCTCCTTCCTGTTGTGAAGAGGACGGTACTTTTGAGGTCTTTCGGTCCTTCACTTCTTTCCATTCTCCTTCATTGTTCTTTGAAGGAGTTCACTCAACTACTGTCTTTGTTGTTGCTGGTTGAGGTGTGGGTTGAGTACGCTTCCCAAGGCACTCTTTCGCCATGTGCCCCGCAGCTCCACATGCCCAACAACACGTTTTCCTGCTTTCTACTACCATTAACATTCTCTTTTCACGACAGACTAATACATTTGGAATGTCTTTGAAGTTGTTTCTGTCCACCGTGACAGATAATTCCATGTCCCCAGTTGCAATTACCGTCTTTTTTCTTGAGTATTTTGACTTCTTCCACCTGTCCGTATCTTGAAAAAAAGGCACCCATCCTGTCATCACAGATATCAACGGGCACTCCATGGATGGTTACTTTTGTCCTCCTTGTGCCCATGTATTCTGTTTGAATACGCAAATCCTTCGTATTCAGGATGCTGCATGCCAGATCTTTTGCATGCTGTTCTGTTGACAGGATAAGTCCCATAAAGCATTACTCCTCCTTGTCAATACCTTTGGTCTGATGTTTAACGCTTTCATGGCGTCTTCTATTGCTTCCCTGCTGACTCCAATTAATTTCCGAGTTTTAATATCGGAAGTCAGCAGAGATATTGTGCGCGTGTTAACAACTTGTAGCGCCTCGGGGATTGTGAGAAATTCATTTCCATTAAAGGAATGTTCAAGTTTCTCCTTTTGGTTAACATAGTAGTCGGCATTTTTTCCACCGGCCTATTTTCATTCCATACGCTTTTTCCGGCAACACCGGCGGTGAAATATTTGTCTTCAGCCATTTTCGGCTGAGACCAAAAACAAATACTGTTACTTTTTTTTTTTTTTTTTTTTTTTCTTTTAAATTATTTTTCAAATATACACAAACGGAAGAAAAAACGGACAACCAAAGACAATAAACAATTCAAATAATAAATACGAAAAAGTAATGCCAACAAAAACAGTGAGGAGAGTAAAAAAAACAAGAAAGAAAATAAACAAAAAAGAAAAGAACAAAATGCACAAATATATCACAACAAATAAACTGAAAAGTCAAACTGTAAAATACAAAAGTTTTTAGAAAATAAAATCAAAAACTTAACAGTTCGTACGCAGTTACACACAGGCTTGTCAAAGGCGCTCAATAATCAATACTCCAATAAAAGGGGTACACTGATGTACTAGGATATTTATTCCGTACAAATACAAAATTGCGACACAAGACCGAAAAAGGGGAGGGGTAAAGGCTGGTCTTCACTATCTTATACCTAGCTAATCCGATTCACGACCCATTCATACATTACAATTTTCACATTCACCAAAAGAACTCGTCCGTCCCCATTCAATCCTCCATGCACCAAAATACCGCATCCTCACAAGGGGGACCAATAAAACGCGCCCCATGCCATAACAATTTGATGATAATAATAAATACTTAAAATTCTATGATGAAACAATGAGAGGGAAGGGAGATGAACCCAATAATCAACTAAAATATAATTCAAATTAAACATAACTAATGTTAGTAGGGCCCGTCCAACCTTCAAAACAGAGAGACCGCTGTATTCTTCCCAGAGGACAGAATCAAGAAACTCTCTCGATAAGGAAGTGGGAAAGGAGAAAATATACTCCGAGCATGGGAAAATATAATAGACTTGAAAAATAACTAAAGTGGCCAGGAACAGGTCGGGAACAACACAAAAGCTTGTCTAACCTAACCAAGGGAAGGGCTCCAGAGGAAACCATCCCGATGTGCCAAAGGTTGACCAAGAAGAGAAAATCAAGGCTAACCCCGTTCAAACGAACCAAGCTCGCCTCTTTCATCCACCTTTCGCTAAAGACTGTCGAATGCAATCGTTTTCTATCAGTTCTAATCTTCATTTTGAGCTGATGCTCAAAGAATCGGATTAGTTCATGAGAAAGATGGTTGCCTCGCAAGACTTCCTCCTTTCGCGTCGTCCAAATCACCATTCGGGTCATAGCCAGTAGCGTCAGTAACACTATTCGTTTTACCCCGAAACACGGGGGCGACACATTGATCGCGCATACGCGTGTGACAATGGACACAAGATGTTCGGGAACGAAACGAGCCGTCAGCTCGCCGAGATGGTCCCATAAGGGGCGGACCCGGGGGCGATGGTAGAAGGCGTGCGAAGCCGTTTCTTCTAAACCGAGACCACACCGTTCACAGTCTGGTAAATCCGCCAAGAAAAAAATAAAAACCTTGTTGAGAGGCAGCCGATCGCCAGGTAAGCGAAAACTCAGGGTTACTGAGGTAATCCGCCGCTGGTGCCCAAAACCAGTAGGAGCGAAACTCCTCCGACAAGTCGAGCATATCACGTAGGGGATCCTTCGCGGGCCACTCCACTAACTCCCAATAGAAGACCTTCCTAGTCATTGGACCGCGGAATGGTCAACAAGGCCGACCGACACTCGCGAAGGAACTCCGATTGATCCCGGGGTTTACGACGGCGCTCAACCCGCGAGATGCGGGGACTGATAGTAAGCCAAGGGAACGCGTCCCTAACAATGCCCGCCAGAATCGGGTCTCCTCGTGTCAACGCGCGGCGTAGGAAAGCCAACTTAGAGGCACGAATGTGACTCATCAGTTGTGGCATTCCCAGCACCCCCACCACCATGACACGGACGTTTACTGCAGACTCGTCTGTCGACCCGATTCACGCGTCTCCTACATAAAATGGAGGATAGCGATCTCTCGAGCGCCTTCCTGTGGTCGCCACAGAAAGGAAGTACGGAAAATCGATAAAGAACAAGAAGGAAGATGTATGTAGCACACACCTCCGCCCTGCCCTTCACGGACAACCTCCGTCGACTCCAAATCTGACCGGCAGAGTTGATCTTTGCTCATACTTCAAACCAATTTTTCTCCAGCTGGAGGTCGGGTCCAAACCACACTCCAAGAATGCGGACAGGACCGTCCGTCCAACAGAAGCGGCCAGGAAGATTAACCCCTATTCCAGGCACCTAACCGCAAGCCGGATGATTTGTCGCGGTTTATCTTGGCCCCTGTCACTTTCTCGTACCAATCAAGCGCCTTCTGTACCGCCTCAATGTCGCTGCGGGACGACACGAAAGCAGATACGTCATCGGCGTACGCAGAAACTCTGGCTCGAGCCCCTCCAGAAACGGCGATTCCGCGTAGGGTCGGACGGCACGCCTCGTCCCTCAGCCGGCGAAAGAAGAGGTTCCAACGCCAAAGCATAAAGGAGAGGCGACAGTGGACAATCCTAACGAACCGACCTAGACAGCACAAAAGCATCCGACAGCTTTCCGTTCACCTGTACCACAGCACTGGGGGAGCGATACAGGAATCCAGCGTCAGAAGTCTGGTTCGAATCTGGCGGCCTGTAGGACAGTAGCAAGTTAGCGATGGTCAACCCTATCAAATGCCTTGAACTGATCCAAATTGATCAGCGCGGCCTCATCGTCGTCTTT